AATTTTTTTGGTAACTAATGTTGATTTTATGTTGAATTTCCTTATTTTGGGTAAGTGAGATACGTTGCCCACTAATCATTAATTAATACTCATTTTTCAATTTCAATTTTGCACTTGAATAATCTCTACTAATTCAATTCATGGGAAACGGATGACATCTCCTATGTTTGTCCACACTAAATTTAGGTGCACTCTACATCATCCATCCATTAATTAATTAAGATGAGTGGTTAAGATATGTTCTCATTTCTCACAATAAGAGTTGTTCTCATTAGAATCGCTCCCTATATAAGAGTTTTTCCCAACAAATCAAATCACTTAAAGTCTTAAACGCATTCACTGTTCTAAAAATCGGCCTAGGGGGCCTAGTCGGCCCTAACTGTAGAGGGCTAGTCGGCCTAGTCGGTCAAAAAATCGGACTAGTCAGCCGCCTTGGGCCCCACAACCGCCCGACTAGCGTCTAACGAGTTTTAGAACAATGAACGCACCAAACGAGTTCATATCATACTGAACAATACCCGAAAAGTTCAAGATCCTACCATACTCCCTCTGTTCCCAAAAATATTTCCCACTTTCCTTTTTGGGCTGTTCCCAAAAATTCTTCCCACTTTCTCTTTTTGGACAATTTGTGTGGCTGACATTCATTTTATTTTTTTCTTACACAACCACAACCATACATTTCCACTTTATTCCACTTTCTTAATAAGCGTGTCAAGTCAAACCGGGAAGAATTTTTAGGAACGGAGGTAGTATATTGTAACACGTACACTCACTTGTCACAACGTAGTGATGAAGCACATGTGACTCCAGTACGTTTCATTAAAGTGGCACATGAATTTTGCCATTAGGCTTTGAATGGGAACTGGACCACCGTTTTTATCTTCTGAGATATTCGCAGAGCAAAAAACAAGTCGCACCCACATGTTTAATTTGGTGGCACTTGAAACAAAAGCAGCAATCGGAAAAGGAAACCTGCAGAGTGGTTAAGGTGCAGGTGAGTTGCGTAGGGAAAGACGATGGGTCCAATTTGATTCCCTTCCCTTTTCATCCATTCGCTTTTAACTTTGCAAACTTCAAAAATCATATGGACAAGTAGTTTTGATCTTAAATTTCATTCATGCCTCTACAGCTCTACTTCACTTTCCCACACCGGATGGACCACATTGACGTCACTGACCAACCTTTTTTGGGAAGACGCCTTCTTCCATAGAGGACCCACTAGCTAAAATGATCCAAAAGTGGGCGGCCACCGTTCTTTTGAAAAATGTCCCTTGCGCAAATGAAATATTCCTCCACTCCCAATTTGTTTTGCAGAGTTAACATTTTTTGTTTAACCAATAATAAAAGTTAACCTTCTTTATGCATAATTAGTTCAATTTTTAATAAATAAAATTTACATATTCATAAACTACATCAAAATCCCTTCAAAGTTGTAAACTTCAAATTAAAATATAATTAAAAATTGACATCCTAATTAAGTGAACGAAATGCAATTGTTTGACTAAGAAAACTCAAATTTGCAAATCAATTCGGGTCGGAGTTAGTAGAAGGATTAAAGCATACAAACAATCTGTTACGAGTATTTCATTACGTTACTTAAAATTAAAGCATACAATCTGATTTTTTAATTAGCATATGTTGTTAAGAGTGTGTAAGTAGCGTAACATCATTGATGCATGTGATCAATTGTACTCCTTAGTTCTACTCTTTAATTGTAACAATCCATTTTTATCGCTTTCTAACGCACAAGTTTAGCCATTAATATTTTTAATTCCTTATTAGTAAAAAATTAAAAATACTGATTTTGAAAATTTAAAATGATAGGGATTTAAATATATTTTTAAAAAATTGAGGTGAAATTGTTTGATCCCTATCATTTAAAATGACAAAGATTTAAATATATATTTTTTAAAATCAGACTGAGTTAGAGTAATCAGAGTTGAAACTCATTCCATTGAATTTTGAACTCGAAACATCCCATAAAGGAGAGTGAGTCACCTGCCAGCTGTATTGAACGACTTCATCTATACACACAAACACACACATGTGCATTAAAACAACATTCCCAACCCATGTGAGAGTATACTAAGAGCCCATGGTCCTTATTATTTTTGGCCAATGGTCCTGATTAATTTTGTCTCTTTCTCTCTCGTGACTAGATACCTTTTTCAAGTCATTCTCATATGACAATATATTACTCCAAAGCACTATGTCCTAAGCTATATATGCATGATATCCGCCGAATTGTTTTTTGAGTTAATGCTTTGGACTAAGCATTTATACTAATATGATTACAAATGGACCGTTAGATCGATTTCCTTTAGATGAAACTGTAATGTGTATTAGGTGAAATTGAAATGTGCAGCACAAAGAGTACGAATAAGTACGATTTAGTGACATTATGTGAAACTGAATTGTGCATTAGGTGAAATTGAAATGTGCACTAAGTACGTGAAATTGAAATGTGCAGAATAAAACGTATGATGTGATGTTAGTTTATACCTTTTATTTAGCGCATTTCAGTTTCACCTAATATACACTTGAGTTTAAATTTTTATTTTTCACATTTCACATTTCCTTAAGAATAGTGTTCAAACGTTTTTTTTTTAATTTTGACCATCCATGCTGGAAACTTCCTTATACGGAGTATAATTTTGGATTATTAAATTACTTTCTTTTAAAAGTTTCTTATTTGTTTTTTAAAAAAGCTTCTTATTTGATATTTACGTAGTGCTACAATAATATATACGAGTGTAATATATTAGTGTAATATATTAGCTTAATTAGCTAAGTAGCTAACATGAGATTTTGGGAATGCACTTTACTTATTTAGTATATGCAAAACTATTTACAATAGAGTGTTTATATACTTGGTATTAAAACAATGAAGATGGCGAAAAAGTGAAAGGCAATATCCATTATTTGAATGAACTTCATATACAATAGTTCAAATTAGTAAACTGCCGGTTAATTAATTATTGACCTTATTTTGGTCAAGGGACTCCATGAGGACCACACATTTTCCATGAAATAGTTTGATTACGGGTCAATTTTTACTACTCCATATATCTTATTTTATGGGGAAAAAATTTAATAATCAGTTTAATATTTAAAGTCAGGACGAATGGCAACAAGCCTTCAACTAAGAATGGTATAAAGTCATCACATGATTGATATGGAGTACTCCTCATTATTAATCACAAAATACCGTTTAAAGAATAACTTGTACTTCAACTTCTAATTTTATCGATCAAAGTAACATGTGCAGACACGGCATTGATTTCCGAGGCATGCACCTTAATTAGCTGGTTTTCTTTCCTCTTTTTAATATAATAAAGCTACATCATATTACCGAGAATTAGATAAAATCAGCAGAATATTAGGCTACCCTCAAAATTTATCAATAATAGCGTAGCAAAAAATTTCGAAGCCTAAGGATTTGTTGATTCACATAAAAATACGAGCGCAAAATAATTGCAAACAAGAGCTGAGATTCATTCAAGCATGTAAATTGACAATGAAATTATAAATTGAACACAAAATTTAACAATGAAATTGAGAACATACGGAGCACAAAAAGAAGACAGCACAATTAAACAGCTAGCTAGGCGATCTCTTAAGCTAGTAATTAATTATTCTACACTACATCCCCCGGCACCAAAGCTTCGCCATCAACCTACCTTCATCATTTGATCGATCAGCTAGGGGGAGGGAGGGGGGCCATGACATGGACACTGCGCGCAAAGGCAGCTAATGAGACACTCGAACGAGCACTTCGACTTTGCACTAGAGAACCGCCCACCACCACCAATAGAAGCGTTGACGCAAACAAAACTAAACACCAAAAATAAACTAAAAACCTGAATCAACATCCGTAGAGACTCCGGATTCCGTTTGACCATATTAGTGGAAGAAAGAAGATGATGAATCGTAGAAGAAAGAAGATAATAAATCGTAGGAGGAAGGAGATGATTAATCGTAGTATTTATATATGCATATGATCATTCATGCACCGGATGGAGCTAATATATACTCGGAGTAAGAGTTATTATCTCTATAACAGCCCGGTACGGTACCCCATTTTTTAAAAAGGTACCGGAGTTGTCACCTAATTGATTAATAAGATAAATTGCATGTTTTTTTTTCTTTCAAAAAACAAAGATAAATTGCATGTTGCTAAAAGTGTGTAAGCAGCGTAGCATCATTTATGCATGTGATTAGTTTAAGAGAGCTGCTTGGGGTACCCCAAAGTGTACACCGTCTGTGTACACAGACATTTGGGCAGAAAGTTCTACCCTCTTTCAAACGAACTGCCTGTGTACACAGACAATTCATGGGAGTGGGTACAAATTGGGGTATAATTTGGGATACCTATAGAAATAATACTATCTTCCGTTTCTTTTTAATCGCAACATGTTGAATTTTACACTATTCACAGGCTCTACTTGGACTAAATTTTACACTATTATTTTATGAAAAGTATTTTTTAAAAAAGATATTGTTCAATTCATCTCATTACAAAGTTTCAAAATCCGATTTTTAAATTTTTTTTACTAATAGAGATTAAGATATAATTACGGTCAAAGACGTGCGTTGGCAAATGTGAAATGTTGACCGTTGCAACTAAAAAAGAACGGAGGATGTAGAATTTTTGTTAGTTTAATATGGTAGGCTGGTAGCTGAGGTTCAGTTCACGTGCACATGCAATCGGATTCTAAATTTCTAAGTACGTCACTCTGAACTTTATGCCTCGGAAACCACATCGCATGCATCCGATTATAATACGGAAGGTTTGTCGTCCTCATGGAGTCACGGGCCAGTTTAGTGACAAATTAAGTAAATTTTATAAGAAATAGTTTTATTTCATTTTTTTTCAAAATAAATACTCCTATAAAATTAAAAAATACACGTTTCCATGTCAAAAAAATAGAAACATCATTAAAGAGTTTTTTCTTTTACTTTTTTGGTTAATAAAAAAATGGGCTGAATTAAAATTTGGTTATTTATTATAAAACAATACTAGACCAAACCAAATTTAAACAAACCAATTCCTATGACTTAGCTTGATCAGTTAAACACAACAAAACAATTTACTTCAGACCAAATTTATATAGACCAATTCCTACAAGATTTTACTTAAACGCACCCAACCAGTTCATATCAGATCCAAAAATACCTGAAAAGTTCAAGATCTATTTGTAACACACTCACTTGTCACAACGTAGTGAATAGTGATGAAGCACAATATGCGACTCCAGTTTCATAAAGTGGCACTCGCACATGAATTTTCCTATGAGGCTTTGAATGGGAACTGGACCACCGTTTATCTTGTGAGATGTTCGCAGAGCAAAAAACAAGTCGCACACACATGTTGGTGGCACTTGAAACAAAAGCAGCAATCGGAAAAGGAAACCAAAGTACGTGGTCCAATTTGATTCCCTTTCTTTTGAAAAATGTCCCTTTCCAGCAAATGAAATAGAAGGCCCCACTAATCATAAAGTGGGCGGCCACCATTATAGCATACAATCTGATTTACGCGGCTCAAAGAGTACATACAATCTGTAACGACTATTTTATTACGTACTTCAAGCATACTGATTTTTTAATTAGCATATGTTGTTAAAAGTGTGTAAGCAGCGTAACATCATTCGTGCATGTGATCAATTGTACTCCTTAGTTCTTTGTCCTCCCTACACTAAAGTAATACGGAGTAATAATTACATTACCCATACCAGGCCAACTTATTCAGACCCCGAAACCTACAAATTTTCAATTTCTAAAATATAGTATAATGATTGGAAGATGCAATGAAATTAATCTTGGTGATATACACCAGCAATGTAAAAGGTAAAAAATATTATTTTAAAATGCATTTGTATTTATTTTACAAATTCCTGCATTTGTACCTTAACACCTTTTGAAAAAAAGCATGACTTATCACCATGGTCTGATTAATAAATACGTACTAATAGGCCTCTAAAAAACGTACTAATAGGTAATATAGGTATGCTCTTTTATTGTATGATTTTTTAATTTAAAATCATACACTCCGTAGTTTCACAGGATAATCGTCAGAAAATGTGTTTTATAAAATAGTTAGTGTGCATAAAATCACATATTAGAAGTACATGTCAAATGAAATCATGTGCGCACCTAATGGACAATGTCTTCTCCATTATTTAGGTTACGAAATTGGATCATCCATTTTCCATTGCTACTTTTGAATATTCAGATGCCAATAAAATGGAAGTAATAATTTCCATACTTGATCGAAAGAAAAGCAACGCTGAAGAAGATGGAGGCGCTGGTCCGGTGGAAGCCAAAAGTTGCAAACTACTAACCCTAACCATAAATTATCTATATCTATGGACTGGTGCAATTTTGGGCTATTTTGTAGACAACCCAACCATACAATTATCTATTTTGTAATGGGCTTGATAACTTTCTGTACGGTGTAAGTTTGCTACTTTGGCAGGTGTATCATTTTTTTGTGTTTATCTTTTTCTTTTTTGGTTTATCTCAAAACCTGGATTTGCCCAAACTTAACATACGGACTACAGAGTAGTACATAGATAATTAGGGGATTCATTTGTAACTATGAGTATTTCATAACTACTCCGAGTCAATAGTAGCAGCGAAATTAATATTATAACCTCTTACTTTTATCTATCTTATGGGTGCTGTTGGAAACAATGCACGGATTAATTGTTTTTTTATTCAATTTAAATGCCTTATTTTGTAGGGAAAACTGTCAAATAGGTCCTCGAACTTTCATAAAAAGGTCAATTAAGTCTTTTTATAAGAGGTTCTGTCCGGCCGTCGCGATTTGGGGCAGTTCCCGGTGGAATTTTTTGATAAAATTTTTTGAGCATCTTATTAACCAAGTCTAGTTTACTCATACCAAATTTCAGCTAAAAATTCAATCAGGAACACATTCAAAATAATTCTTGAAGATAACTGCGCATTTTTGCGTTCTCGAATTAATTTGAATGCGCTCCCGATTAAATTTTTAGCTGAAATTTGGTATGAGTAAACTAGACTTGATGAATAAGATGCTCAAAAAATTTCATCAAAAAATTCCAACGGGAACCGCCCCAAATCGCGACGACCGGACAGAGTCTCCTATAGAAGGACTTAATTGTCTTTTTTATGAAAGTTCGAGGACCTATTTGACAGTTTTCCCTATTTTGTATCATGACAAAAAGTTACATACTAATCAGTCTCTTATTTATTGAAAAATAAAAGGATATTGATAGACAAATAAGGTAATAAAAGCGCACATACCGATTGATGAGATATACCCCGGTAAAACATACGGAGTAGAAAATAAAATTATGATTATGTGAAAACGGTGCTACTTGTTACTTTTTAGTACGTAGTATTTCGTGACCTTAGGGTTGGAACTTTACTCATGAGTAGTTCATCCTTTTGAACAAAAAAGAACTTAAAATAATTAAGAATATCCTTAATTGGACTGTTTTGGATTTCCGACCAAATTAGATGAGGTCAAACTTAATTTGGTCAGACTAGATAGTAGATACACATAAAATAGATATCTATCATACCGGTTCAGAGCAAAACAGAATTAAACAAAAGTGATCATATAAAACGAGACAATACAAATTGCTAATTATCAAATGAGTATGACACAACAATCAATGGTCATATAGATTTTTTTAACTTGACATAATATCTAGCAAAATTGTTAATCCTTACTGCAGACCTAAAACTAAAGTCATCAACATAAAGCAGAGCAACATAAACAAACTTGTGTGAAAGTAAGACCATAAAAAATAAATTGACAAATACTCCAATTTCTTTTCTGCCAATATTTTAGAAGTATCATCTTTCTAACCATAGTACCTCAGTCGCTTTGGGGCGGCAGTTTAGGAGGGCAGTGGCCCGCCGATCGATCATCCTCTGAAATCGCCAGACGATTTTCCATTTCAAGGTATCAATCACAGACCTTCAGAGACCGAGCATGGTAGCGACCGCCCTCCCACTATCGCTCCTTATCATTCAGCGGACAAGATACAACGCATTCTGCCTACTAGAAAGACAAACCCTGTACGAAAGCTTTGGAGAAGACCATTTCTACGCTGCTTTGAGCGTTAGAGTAGAATTGCTGGACTCATGCGCATCTTATTAATCACCGTGATATGAAAAAACTTCAAAAAAGGGGATGTGAAAGATGCGGGGAAGGAAGAATTGGATTCAACAAAAGCTAATCCTGCGGGATTTCACTATATTATTTTAAACCCAATTTAAAATGTTTTAATTTCATAATTGTTTTAAACTACAACTGTTTCTATTTTGTATTGATTACTTTTAGTGTATATAATAATATTTCTAAGACATTCACATATTTAACAATATATTGCTTTTTATTGTTTACATTTTAAAATTACTTATTGTATTTAATATTTGAACGAAATAATTTTCCGTGCATCGCACAGGTGATATACTAGTGTTTTAAACATCAAGTGTCATTAACATACATGGGCCAAATTGACCTTTAACTAATATTCAAGTAGTCTGAATTCTGAAATGTAAATAAGCAAACAAAAAGTGAGGAACAAAAGTAGCTCTAAACATTAATTGATCCTAGTGAAATGAACATTTGCTAGCTTTTGGCCAATTGATGAGTTCACCAACCAATGTGTCTTCAAACTTCTCATCCCTGTCATATAGGTACTTACTATCATAGAAGTTCTCATCAATAATGATACTACAAGCTTCCTCATTTGGTGGAGCTTCCGTATTTAAGTGTCCATAAGCAATAACTTTTCTCCTTAAGTTTTCCAAAAAACATGCCCTTGTAGTTAGGCCAGATTGACCTCCCTGAAATAGTGAAATGTAATCATTAGAAAAAATTAGTTGCTAAACATACGTAGTCACCAAGGGAGGAAGGTGAAAGATAACCTGGAAAAGATTTTGAATGATCAGCAATATAATTCTACCAAGAAATAAACTCTAAGTAAAGGAAAACCTTACAATTATGTTTAACGTATAATGTTGCTCAACCGAATGAGCAAGAACAGATTGAACGACAAAGCATTAACATCAATGGAAAAAAAAATTCTACATAAATAATACATACAGAATTACTCAAGTAGGGGGAGTGAATTAATCCCCAACTTGTGGAAATGATGCACAGCAAAAACAGTAGTTTTAATATAATTAATCATTTCTGTTTCTATATTTCTATTAAATTTTTTATTTCTACTTTATTTTACTTCAACCACACATCATTCTTATTCTCTTTCTTTCTATTTCATTCTTTCTTTCCACAACTTCTTTTCTTTTCTACCAAGCTAACACTATCTAAATTGTGTAAGAAATGTTATGACCTCTACCGTTTAAAAACTTGACATTTCATCTTAAAGAATTCGAGTTGTATTCTACTCAATTTTTGTACTTCTTACGGTTAAAGACTATTAAAATGTTTATGTTCTTAAAGTCTCCAGCTCATCTTTGGTTGACCAGCTGCATTGGAGAAATGCAAAACCTTCTCGAACGGCTCCCTGTGTATGATAAATAGGTAATTGAGAAGGAAAACAGGTCATACATCAAAGTATTTGATAACAAAAAAGAAAATCTGGTATACCTCACGGCTGATTCTGAAAATGTGCTGAATGAAATGGATCCGAAGGCAATATACATCATTGGTGGTTTGGTGGATAGGAAATGGTGGAAAGGAATAACAATTTTTACCAGTTCTAGTGTCCCATGAACTACAATTCATTTTTAGGAAGAAAAACATATCCAGCCATTTTTACCAGCTTCTATGAACTTTATTTAGAGATCTTTGACTTTAAAGATGATAAACTTAAATACCTTATATTAACTAATATAAGGTATTTATTTAGAGAACTTTGTTTGAGTTTTTTGCCTCTCTTTATGTCATTGGGTATGGTTGGATCTAAGGGAATAGTTTTGGCTGTGTCAAGCCCACTACATGGTTAGTGATTCGTGTTGCTTTCTCAGGGGTGACCGTCTGAAAGTCTCATCATAGGGTTACAGTCGTAGTTGTTGGAGTTTCAGTTGGTGTCTGTTTTATTTTCCCTTTGCTTGATGTAATGATCCTGATGAATCTTTTGATATGAATAGAGGCATGTTTTGATGATAAAAAAAAACCTTTTTAATGATGTAAATGGCACATCTACGTATCATATATAGTGGTGGACCCGGGCTGGGCCCGGGCCGGGCCAAGGCCTGGTCGGGCCTCGGGTCTGGTATAGGTTTGCCCGGGACCGGACCGGGCTATGGCCGGTTCCGGTTCGGGCAAGGGCCACCCGGCCGGGTCACGGGTCGGGCCACCCGGCCGGGTCACGGGTCGGGCCACCCGCCGGGCCGGGCCGGTTCATTATATATATTTTTTTAAATAATTATATATTATACAAATTCCTATCAAAAACAAAGTTCAAAGTGCATTTATTTGAAATAGGAACTACATTTGAGAATTGAGAAAAAAATAATAATACGAAATACATTTTCTAATAAATATCAATTGAGATTTCCGCCACCGTTGGTTGTTGTTTTCCCTTTGTCACAGGACTTCATATGTTTTATTGGCATCCCGTATCCGTGTGAACGCCCCAAGCAACACTCTTTCTCGCACCACTTGCAAGTTGCCCACCACAGTCCGGTCTTCGGGTCCTTCCACTTATCAAAATTGTTTTGCATAAGAGAAGATGTACTTTCCATCTTTAAAATGGTATATGTATAAGTAGGAATGTAGGATAATAAGAGAAGATGAAGATGGAGAAGAGTTGGAGAAGAGCTGTAGAAAAATGTTAGAAAATAGATGTATTTATATATGTTTTTGAACCCCACTCCCCACACCACCACCACCGGGACCCCCCTGCCTCCCACCCAAAGCCCCAACGGCTATATAGCCGTTTGGGAGGTTTTGTTTGCAAAAAAAAAAATCAATTTTTTTTAAAGTTATACATATTGTAAAATAAGTTAATTAATTTAATGAATTAAGTAAAGCTATTTGTACTTGGAAAAGTGGTTTGATTTATAATTTACAAATGTTACAAAATAGGTGTATAAGTATTTAAACAAATTACATATTGTAAATGTATTTTTAATTTAAAAACCGGCTTTAGATCTTAGAAAAATAATTTTTAGTCTTAAGTTTGTAACCAATTAATTAATTTGAGAAGTGCTACATATGAAAAAATGAACGCATATTTATTTGAAATATGAAGTACAAGTTTACAAATTAATTTGAAGTACAACTACAAATTTACAATTTTGAAATATGAAGTACAAGTTTACAATTTCGAAATACGAAGTACAAGTATAAATTAATTTTACAAGTGCTACAAAATACAATCTATAATAAATTCTAAAATACTAATCAATCGGAATCTCCGGCATAGGTAGAGCCACTATCGGTTGTTGAGTCATCCATAAAATCTTGGGAGGGGGTGATGCTCATTTCTTGAGTTCTGCGTGCGGCCTTCAACCAATCGTGGTAGCATATTAGCGTCTCAAGAGACTCCGCGCTCAATCTCGATCTAGATGCCTGATAGTATTAATTCTAGAGAGAAGTGAGAGTTAGAGAGATAAAGTGATATGTATAATGAATTCCAATCAACCATCCAATCCTTTACATGGCTCCCATAGGGAGTATTTATAGGAGAAAAGAGGGCTGTGCTTCCAGGCTTGGGCCTGGCTGGCCCAGTTACAATAAAAGGCCAATAAATGGCTAATAAATGGTATCTAATCTATTCTAATGAGTACATATCAATAAATATAGTGTACAAGGAAATAAATGCTATCTACTGAGCATATGTGGGCCGCTGTCCGGGCCGCTGTCTGGGCCCAATAATCGTGATACCCGGGGGTCCGAGTCTATATACTCTATCAATGCCGTTAGGACGTTGCCGGCCGAACTAAATTCTTATTCCACAACAACTGTTGAAACCGGCATTGATAGTACTTGCTTAGCCATCCGTGCTAAAATCGGGAACGTTCTTTCTTTTGACTTCAACCAGTTTAGAACATCAAAGTCATCATTTTCTTCAAAATCAACTTCATATGTTAAATACAAAGTAATCTCATTTAAAGCGCTTTGTTCAGTGACGTGAGTTACTTTAGTTTTTTTCATAAGATTGCCAAATGCAGATTTAAAAATCGATTTTCCTTTAGATGAAGATGTTCGTGACAGGGGAGGGGGAGCGTTGCTATATTGTGCACGAAACTCATTAAATAAGACATAAAATAAAGCACTAACCTCGTTGTATTCCAGCATTTTCGGATCTATGGGGTTATCATCACACATTGGAAAATTCACCAAAAAACGCAAGATAATAGAAGTTGAAACACTCTTCCAAATTAGCAAGTCTAAAACGAGGATCGAGAATAAATGTAATACCATAAATATGGGGAATATGCGCATAATATTTTAAAAACTTTTCCTTCATATAATCACAAAAATAACTCACGAAAACGGCATTCTCAAATTCTTTAAAAGCACCGGCGAGATTAACAGCTTCACGAATAAATTGGTTTGCGGTAGGTTTATAAACATGACTAAAAGTTTCAGTTGCATTAAAAAAAATATCAAAACATTACAAATTTTTTCGCAAGTGTCGATCTCAGCCGAGTTTATAATATAGTTATCATGTTGTTTTAAAAAAGCAGGAAAATGTTCTTTATATCTAAGAACAACTTTAAGTAATTTATAAGTACTATTCCAACGAATACTCAAATCTTTAGGAAAAGCAACATATTTCACACCTCTTTCAGTCAAATAAGTTTGTCATTTTAATCTAAGTTGACCATTACCCCAAATACATCTAATCACCCCTTCACTACCTCCATAGCATCTCTTAACGCTTGTAGACCGTCTTGCACACATAAATTTATAACATGGCATGCACAACGTTGATGAAAAATCTATCCATCAAAGTATTGCACCACACAATTCACGCAATCTAGGTATAACAGCAGTATTACTAGTAGCATTATCGAAACCAATAGCAAACACCTTATCAATCAAATTATACTCAATTAAAATACGCTCAATCAAAATATAATATGTTCAGCGGTGTGACGATCATTAAATTCACAAAAAGCAAGAACACATTTATGCATATTCCAATCCTCATCAATATAATGTGCGATCAGACCCAAATAATATAAATGATGAAAATCATCCTCCCATATGTCAGAACAAATAGTAACACGTCCATCAAAGTTTGCAAAAAAAAATTGTAACCTTGCCTTTTCCGCATTATAAAGCCTTATAATTTCTTTCTTAACAGTTTTGCGACTATAATTTCTAAATTGAGGATTTAAACTACCTTGTGTATAATCTCTTAAAGCAAGACTTTCAGAAAACATATAAGGCAAATTTTCTTCACAAATTAAGTTAGCCATACCAGTCAAATTTTGTACATCATTGTTGGAAAAATTACCAAAAGATTGAGAATTCGCAAACCTCGATATTTGAGTTTGCTTCCCCCACTACAAGAAAAGTGAGCATCAACCACGGGTGTGTTTACCACATCAAGAAATGTGTGGTTATAAACATTACTTACAATAGGAAATCAACTGTGGTAAAACAATACTGTGGTTTATACAATAACAATGAAACTATGGTCTATAAAAACAACAAAAACCGTGTCTTTACCTTTGGATCTTGTAATTGGTGCTAGTTGTCATATTTTTTTGTACTTACGGAAACTTTTAATGATTTTAGTTCACAACTGTAATCATGTTAGAGAGTGTTTTGGTTTGCTTAAAAAAATCGTTTTTCAGCTTTTGGCTTAAAAAAAGATGAAAAGAGTGTTTTCAAATGACAACTTCAGCTTAAATTAATCACTTAAAAGCTAAAAGCTGGAAGCAGATAGAAGAGTGCTTTAAACTGCTTTTCACTTTTTCTATTACACAAAAAGTACTTATTTTACCAAACACTACAAACTTTTACTTTTTCAGAATCACTTTTTTCTCAAACACTACCAACTTTTACTATTAATCACTTTTCCCAAAATCACTTTAAAAAATCATTTTTTTTAAAGTTGAAGCAATCGCAAACACTCCCTTAGTTGTGTGTGTATTAGATCTAATCACACGGTATTTTGAAAGTATGGGGGTTTAACAACAGGTGCCCATTTGGTGATTCTGTTTTTCAGCTTATCAGGTTTATCAACCAACGTTTTAATTAAACACGTAATTTTTAATTTATAAGAAAACATAAGGCTGAAGTTACCTTTATGGCTGTAATGGCTGAATTTACTATAAATAACCATTTTAGTTATTTTTCACATATTTTTTCTTTGTTTTATTACTAAAATATATTTTAAATATAATTTTTTCCCCATAAAATCAATATAATCAGTCAATACAACCACTTCAGCTCGAACTTCATAAATTTTAGCTGAATCCAATTCGGTAGCTACAAAATGTGCTCTTGATATATTCCATTTAAAAAAAACTAAAAGCAAGATACAAAGCTGGCCAAACAACACAAACCACAAACCCCCACTCACGGTGAGTGACTCTCTCTGTAGAATAAGCACGATAGGGTTTCTTCCTCAAAGCAAGCCGATGGAAAATTGCGTCTCTCTGGCTCGTAAGGTATACACATTATAATTTATATTCATAAATTTATTGATTTTTGTCAAAAGTTCTTAAAGTCATATCGGCTTGCTTCTACGCTTACATAGACTTTCTCTAATCCAATGTTTATGTAGTCTTGATTTGGATTTGTGCACCCTCTTCGAATTTGGGGACCAAGAAGAGCTCCTCTGCAATACCAATCGATAAGCCTCTCTGGTATTTTTCTTGTGCATATGTTCTTGTTCATACATATTTGTTTGGATCTATTTTACTGCTTGTACAATAATCCATTCACAGACTACCTTGGCCGGCCTTATCCAGATTTGTATTTATTTGCCTCTTGAGTATAGAAGCTGCTAGATAGCCAATATGCAAATCTTTATGCCAGAATGAGTTTTTTGTTATCATAGGAAATCAAGAAATAGAAAACAACTGCTTTTCTCCAAAAAAAACAGCTGTTTTGTTTATACTAATGGGTTGACACACCGATACCTTCTACTGGGTTAGCTAAAGTAGATTGTATACAAATGCCAAATTGTATTAATATACAATTTTTTTTACTCTAATTATTTTAACCCATAAATATTGCAGAAGTGACTAAACTAATCCACAAACATTACATTAACTAACTTATGATCTTTCTTGGAGTTGATGAGGAGACTGTGCTAATTCAAATGCTCTGTATTCATTCTTTCAATTGATTTTTTTCATTTCTTATGGGAGTGCTTAGTAATACAAATTGTATTCATTTGATATTTTCTTATTAAAAAGTAATTGTTTCTATTTTTAGGATTAGTTAAATATTATATTTTGGATCAATCTCTCTGTTAGTCATGACCTAATCTGCCCATAATAGTTGATTTCTCTATTTATAGGTCATGGATAGGGATTGGATGTATTCACAAAATAGAATCTCCCCAGAGTACCGAGAAAAAGTAAATGAGTTTTTAAACTATTCATACAGAAACAAGGATATAAGCTCATTGATTTATTGCCCCTGTAAGGATTGTGCAAATAGATTTTATGTAAATCGTAATGAGGCTCAAAACGCACTGGACGGAGGGAGAAGATGCTCCCCCTTCTCTCTACCCCAATCATCCCTCAACCTCCACCACCCAACACCGACGGCACCACCAAGGCAGGTACTACACAGCACCTCTCATACTCCGCAGCCCTCACGTCAACTACCGGAAAAGCAGAGTCCACTTCAGGTTCTGGAATAGCAATACAAAAGTCAGCTTCTCAAAAGGCAGACTATCAATCCCATGCCGTCCTCAACCCTCGCCACAGCAACCCAGAATTTCCCAAACGCACAACAACCCAAAAACCCAACTCCACCGTCCTCCCCCCCTCTAAAGTCCCCCGGCTTGTTAACTCTACACCTCAAACCTTCGTTGATACCCTGAATCAAACCCCCCCGCCTCTAACACTCAAAGAAAAGCTCACTATTTCAGGACTTCCGGCGGTTTCCTTCTCGCAAGAGGAAATCAAATCCCTCACACAGCCTCTCAAATTCGCGCTAATAGGGACTTTTCTGCATGGGATCCCCAAGTTACCTACAGTTCGACACTATTTTCAGAAAATCAGCTTCAAAGGGAATTTCTTTTTAGGACCTTTAGCTCCTAGGCATATTCTCATCAATTTTGACAGGGAAGAGGATTTTCTGAAATGTTGGCTGCGTCAGACATGGCTTATTGCAGGCCTAAAACTGCGGATCACAAAATGGACCACAGATTTCCAACCAGGTAAGGAATCCCCTATAACCCCCACTTGGATCACCCTCCCTGGACTCCCGGTTCACCTACAGGACAGAGGGGCGCTGCTCTCTATAGCAAATCTCATCGGCAAACCTCTACTGTTGGACAAGGATACAGCCTCCCGCTTCAGACCGTCAACGGCAAGAATCTGCGTCGAACTTGATGTCACGGCAGAACGTAACCACAAAGTTTGGATTCAGGCGGGAGCAACCGGTTTTACCCAGGAGGTAAATTATGAATTCATCGAACCTTATTGTTCCTCCTGTTTTTTACTAGGACATTCGACCTGTAATAAAGGGAAAGAACCTGTTTTTACCACCCTAAATCCCGTTGCCCAGATGAAAACACGTCAAACCCCAACCCAAACGCCCCCACCAGAACAGCTCACCCTCCTGGAATCCCAGCCCATAACCCCAATTCAAAACCCAAACAACAACCAGCAGACCGTTATTGTCACTCACAATAGCCAGCCAATCATTCAACCTGATACTATAAGCCAAACCCTCATAACTACCGACCCCCATTCACTGTCACTCACACACCAGAAACCAACTACTGCTTTACCCTTACCCCCCCCCCTCAACCCGCCCCACCCCTTTCTTCCTCGGTGAACCTTCCCCCAGACAACGCCCACCCCCCCTTCTTGTCCCTTTCCTTTCCCACCCTCCTCTGACCACCCTGGCAGCGCCCACCCCATTATTACCGACCCCTCCCTGTCACACCTAAATAATTTGACCCATTTCACACCCTCCTCTGACCACAACACATCCACAGACATCGCCGAATCCATTTCCAAACATACCCCCCCAACCCCTCTCCCCACCCCCCTCCCACTTCCTCAAAACTCAAACCTCCATCACCTTTTGCCTAATTCAGTTTCACTTATGCCATCACTTCCCACAACCTCCAGACCTATGGATGATCTCTTATTCAACGAAGGAACCCCCACCCTTGTAACTTTAGAGGAAGGTCACGTTTCTGAAGGAGACCCCCCCGAAAAAGGAAGTATGTCCTGGGGTTCAATCTCTGAAACTCTCACTTTAAAGCTGGACAAAGTGGCTAATGTTCCTACCTTTAAAGAATCCCTTATCCAGACTACCTCCAAAAAAGTTTCCAAAACTATCTACAACAGATCTACTTCCCCCGTCACTACCCGATCGCAGAGGATAAGAGAAGCCAAGGGGCTTCGAGAACCGTTATTATGATTATTATGAATTGGAATGTGTGTGGCCTTCATTCTTCCAGTGAAAGGCTACAAAATATCATCTCTCAATGGAAGGTTTCTCTAATATCTATTATTGAACCAATGATAGCTGCAGAAAAGGCAGATCATTACAAAAATCTTTTAGGATTTACAAATGTGGTTACTAAAAGTGACAACAAAATTTGGCTACTTTGGAAAGACACCGATTTCCTGGTTGAATCTTTCGTGGAAGGCGACCAGGTCATCCACGCATTTATAAAAGAAAACCGAACTGGCTTTCTTTTCTGTTACTCATCCGTTTATGGTAAGCACACCAGACCCATAAGGGCAATTCTTTGGAACGAATTAACCACATGGAACACATCCCTAACAACCCCTTGGATAATTGGAGGGGATTTCAACGTCATAGCGTCACTTCAAGAATACAGTGGAAAGGTTATTCCTAAGATTAACGAGATCAATGATTTTACTGAATGCATTGACCAATGCAACTTGAAAGGTGTACCATTCTCGGGAACAAAGTTCACTTGGACAGGGGTACGTACTACGGGAAGGCTATGGAGGCGGCTGGACAGGTTTCTAGCTAACGACAATTTCTTACTACATTTTGATAGTGTTGTTGAAAAGCATATTCCGCGGGCCTCTTCTGATCACACACCGCTCATCCTATCGTGTTCTAAGCATGTCTCTACTGGGCCTAAATCATTTAGGTTTCAAGATATGTGGGTTACTCACCATACGTTCTATGAAACTGTTTCAAACGCCTGGAACTCAATTCAAAACGGAGGAGGCATGCGCCAATTCTACGACAAACTACATGCTACCAAACGGGCATTAAAGTATTGGAACAAGAACACTTTCGGGGATGTGTTTGGTGAGGCTCGGAATGCAGAAAATGTGGCCCAACAAGCAGAGGAGGCTTACACTAACAATCCAACTCCCTCCAACAGATCAGACTGGTCACGGACCCAGGCTGAACTCCTTCTTAGACTCAAACAAGAAAATTTGTTTTGGAAACAAAGGGCTAAAATAAAATGGTTGTCGGAGGGAGAAGCCAACACAAAATTTTATCATAATTTTGTGAGTCAAAAAAGAAGGGCTCAACAGATTAACTCAATTGAAGATGACCAAGGAAACTTTTACCAGGACCACCAGGGAATTGCAAATGCGGCGGTTGAGCACTTCAAAAACCTTTATGCAGAAACTAGTGGTTCCGACCCGAAACCGCTCCTGGACCTATTTACCCCAACAATAAATGCCGAGGACAACTGCTTTCTAAATGCCATTCCTCTCAAAGAAGAGATTAAGGATTCAGTCTGGTCTTTGAGCCAGGACAGCAGCCCTGGCCCAGATGGTTTTAATGGAAAATTTTTTAGAACCTGTTGGGAGATAATAAAAAATGATCTGATCTCAGGGGTGCAAGAATTCTTTTTAGGGATTCCTATGCCCCAAGCCCTTAATTCCTCCCTAATCACTCTCATCCCAAAAAAGCCGAACCCAACCTTTTTCACTCACTACCGGCCTATTAGCCTAACCAATTTCATGAATAAAATTTGCACAAAGATTTTGGCTAACAGGCTTAAACCCCTCCTTCCAAAATTCATATCAAAGGAGCAGATCGGTTTTATGGAGGGGGCGGACATGCACCAACACATCCTTTTAGCAAAAGAGCTTCTCCACCACCTCAACCACAAGGTAAGGGGTGGAAACATTGGGATCAAGCTGGATCTTGCCCAAGCTTTTGACCGAGTTTCTTGGTCCTTTTTGGAGGGGATCCTTACCAAATTGGGCTTTCATCAGAGGTTCATCCGCCTCATAATGTCCAACCTGGCGTCTAATCGGATATCCATTCTCATCAATGGACAACCCTGTGGTTTCTTTAAACCACAGAGGGGGGTCAAACAGGGAGACCCCCTATCCCCCTACCTATTCCTAATTGCCATAGAAAGCTTCAGCCGCGGTCTACATAAATTATTACAGAATCATCAAATAAATCCCTATTTAGTTGGAGGGAAGCCATCCCCGGTGGCTGAACTTGGTTACGCGGACGACCTACTCCTATTTTTGAACGGCTGCTCCACCTCCATCAAAAGGCTGCTGAAATTCCTGGACCTGTTCTCCAAAGCTTCTGGGCAGCTTGTTAATCTGGAAAAATGCAACATTATTGTTGGAAAAGGGACAACTCTAGCCAGAAAAAGAGAACTCCAACACATGTCAAAGATGACAGTCTGTAATCTACCGATTAATTACCTTGG